ATAGCCTTTGAAGTCTATTTTCATTATTGAGTGGTCTCTGTTCGAGAGGAGAGAGTAATCATACAAAAATCGAGCTGGAGTGAGCAGTGGTCTGTAAACTCGAGCTCTGAGAGTGCTGACGATGTTTGGTGGATATCTCGAGTTATACCAATCCAATTAAGGCGTATAAGATACCAAAAGAAAGATCTCAAGACTAGGAATCCGTGAAGGTCTGGTTTGCAGCAATCGGAGTAGTGGAAGGCTTCCAAATCGTCCGAGCAAAACACAACCTCACAGAAACGGATCTACTCTTCTAAAGTGAGTTGTTAACCCCAAAACCTTTCCTTTCATTTTCCAAATGATATGAACGATTGGTGGAACTATTGTACACTAATCCAAGTGTATAATATGTCCTTGTAAAGTTATTTTATTGATGTAAAGGTTAGATACTAACCTAGAGTAAATCTTGGAAAACTAGGAGACGAGTTAACCGGAAAACGCCCATTCTAGGGGCTGTTTTCGTATCAACGTTTGAGGGTTGAGCTAGCACTTTAAGGAGGCTATTTAAGCAAGGAATCAGTTCTTAATCCACCGTGGCTAAAGCTTTGACCATCGGATCAAGAAGGAAAAGTTTAAAGCTCAATTAAGGTGAGGACCGACATCTAGTTGCTTACAACTTGTAGGTTATGCATGAGATTACCTAAATGCTTAAATCATGTTTTTGTGAATAAATATGCTTGAACATGATATGAATGATAAGTAATGGACTTGATCATGAATTGAAACCATATTGATGAATATGGAGTCATGTGAGATAGAAGTATGCTAATATGGTAAATTGACTTCTCCAACTCATGTATGAATGTTATGTGTATGTAAATGTATAATTTCATTATGATGCTTAATACATGGGAGGCTTCCACATATCTATTGATATGGAGGGGCTACCATTAATGATAAATGAGTTGTAGGAATAATCTTGATAGTATTGTGATGCTAGTTAAGGATTGCCCTAAATGTGTTAGAATCAAACTCAAGGTGTGAGTTTGTTTGTGATGAACTTGAATGAGATTCAAGTGTCAATTGTGAAATCGTGGAGTAGGAGATCTATGGTGTGATTTTATGAAGTAGGAGATCTATGGTGTGATTTTATGAAGTAGGAGATCTATGATATGATTACATGAAGTAGGAGATCTATGATGTGAGTGCATGATGATATACTCGAGCCGAACTCTAGAAATGAGAAGTTATATTAGGGTTGGACCCTATGTATGTTGTGACCATTAGTCACGGGGTTTGGGAAATGTTTTGTGATAAACATGGGCTTTTGAGCCGACTACTTGACTTTATATAAAGTAAGTATATATTTTGAAGGGGTAATTTGGGATTACAGCCTAAACTATATTATCACCCTATTTGAGGGTCTTGTGTGTGAAATACTTGTTGTATATCTATTAGATGCCTGCCACACCAGTACTTTATAGCCGTATAGAGTACTGACCCCTTCGGGGGCGTCCCACCACCATTTCAGGTTGAGGCTAGAGCTTGCATCCTGTGCTCGTTGATCGAGTGATTCCTAGGAGGGAAGACTTGGTTCGTGCTTCTTCCATTTCATTTGAAACATTAATAAATTTGCTCATGGATATTTTACTATAGAGCCTGCGTGCTCATGAAATGCCTTGTGTGGCCTTCTTGCTTTAAACAATGTTTTCCGCTGCGTTATGAATTACTTATTATGTTTGTTTATGGATGTATACGTGTGAATGATATTCAAGACGCCTTGTATAATATGAATACGTTTGACTTTGGTTGACCATTCGTATTGTACGGCGGGTTGTTGACGTGTCCGAGGAGGTCCGGGGCGTGACAATATCCTCCTCCCACGCAGTTCTAAATTGGTCTAATAAACCATCCACTTTAATATCCTCCATCCCCGCCACAACAACAACAGTGACCTTGGGATTGCTATTATCCGGTAACCAAGCCTAATCCCCCAAACACTTATAGATCTAGCATCCCCCACTCGCCAATAGTACCCATTTCGGATAACATTTTGGGTTTCATAAATACTCCTCCAAATAAAGAAGGGGTTCTGTCCCAGTGTATTAGAAAGAAAATCCCCTTTTGGATAATACCTGGATTTGAATACTCTCCTTACTAAAGACTCTAGCTCCGTAAAAAGTCTCCACGCTGTTTAGCTAACATCAAAATGTTAAATTGTCGCAGCGTACGAAAACCCATACCACCAAACTTCTTTGACGTAAAAAGAAAATTCCAGTCCTTCCACCTGATCCCTTTCCCCCGAATTTTCAGTCCACCAAAAGCCATTCATAAGAACTTCTATTTCCCAGTATAACACATTTGGGGGAAGAAAGACATTCAGAGTGTACAAAGGCATAAATTGAATTATCATTTTTAGAGGAACTTCTCTCCATGTCGAGAGAGAAATATGTTGTTCCAATTCTGAATCCTTCTGACAATCCGTTGCCTAGGATAATTTAGAATCTCTCTGGTTATGCCCAAATAAAGTAGGTAGCCCCAGATACTTCTCCTCAGACTCAGTTTTCCCTACTCTTAACAAATCAGCCTTCCCCTTATGTATTTCCACATAACATTGGAACTGAAGAAATTTTTTGATTCATTGAGTATGTGGAATATCACCCTCGTTGGAGGGGTTAACAAAATTGAATAAGTTGGCAAGGACTTTGGGGGATTAGGTTTTATTTCTATGTTTTGTTGACTCAGATGTGTGACTATTTTAAATCTATTTTTTCTTCCAGTGGTAATAGTAGATCATATATTGTGATAATGAGATTTGTACGGGTGCAGGAGCCTCAAATACATGAGATTATGGGGCTGAAGAATATAAATTCCATAGAAGTTCATAGCTTTTAATGTGTATCCCAATCAATCATCAGGGGTAGATGATATAAATTCCATTTCCCGCAAAAATATTAGAGTATTTCTGTTTGGTGCAACTGATTTTCATTTTAATCATTTCAAAAGAGCGCAAGTGTCATTAACAAGACAAACATTGTGTGGATACCAAAGAAATTTAATCTAGAGAGTGTGTGGATTGAAGACTCATAGCTCTTTGCAACATCATTTATAAGATTTTTGCAAACTTCTTAGCAAACATAATGAAGAGGATCTTCAATGATTTACTGAGAGAAAAACTGAGTGTCTTTGATTCTAATCGGTCTACAGTCGACACTGATATTATTATATGCGATGCTCACCATTATTTGTAGCATAAGAGACACATGACATTAATGTTACACATGAATATAGCACACGATAGAGTGGGATGTTTTTCCTTAAAATAAAAGATGAGATTTGATTCGAAATTGATTGATCTAGTTATGAAATGTGTATCATCGTTCTCTCATTCTTTGCCTTTTCAATATTTTGTGATTGGTACTATTATGCTTCAAGACGTTTGAGGCAAGGAAATCCATTATTATTTGATACTGAAGGTTTGAGTTCTTTAATCAATTTGAAAACAAAAGGAAAGGGGTTGTTTATTGGAGTAGCAATGATGAAGGAGGCTCTAAAAGTTTCCCATTTTCTATTACGGATGACAACTATTTATCTTTTAGAGCACATGCTAGTAAATAATGTAAGACAATAAAAGAGATTTTGAGGCAGTTTCAGCTTTATCCGGTAAAAATAATAAATCTTAGTAAATCTAATGTGTCCTTTACGCTAATGTTGGGGAATAAAGTGAAGTATTAAGAATTGGTCAAGAGAGACCATGGGTAGTGATCATGCATTCTTGGCTTTGATCCATCGAATGAAAAAAAGCTCCTGATTCACTTTAAAGGAAGAGCGATAAAGTGACTTCAGAGCTCGAGTAATAGATTATTAGACTTATCTCTAGGGGCCAGAGTGAAACAAGACATTGGACTAAAGTCTGATTAAGGTGACTATGAGTGCACTTTTGTAGTAACTTTGATTTATAGTTCGAATATAATTACGCTCACTTAATGTTATTAAGTCACATTTTTGTCATCTATCTTAGCTTTGTTTTGGTCATATTTTAGATTATTAGCCTATTAGGTATTACTGTTTCTTGTAATAATCAAACACTTTATCCATAATCACTTGAGAAGCACAAGCAAACCTAATACACTTTCTAAACTCTAAAGATCCTTTAACTCCGACTGTTTTAAAAAATCTAGGTTTATAGTATCATATCAAATAAGACTTGATCGGATTTTAATATGCTAGATTAAACAAGATTATATCAAACATAAACAATATTCCACAGTAAATACAAATAATATTGGTCCAAACTAGATGAATCAAGCTTAAACGGATCAAGACGAATTAAGTCAAATCAAATCAAATCAATGAAAGTCATGATGTTTTTCTATAAATATTACCAAAATATAATTAATGAACAAAAATATTACATTAATAACTATGCATAATTATTTTAATGGCAGAGTTGAACACAATTAAGATCACTAAAGTTAACATGATAATCACCAAATCATCATATTTTGTCAACTATTTTATTTTAATCATATATTATTTGTCACCATTTAGAAAAGGGATAATTTACAAAAATACCCTCGATCAGGAATATGTTGAAGGTCAACCGATTTGTCAATGGAGGACATTTTTATTTTTTCATAGGATTGTGATGCAAAAAGAAAGATTTTTAGAAACATGGTGCAAAGTTCAATTTCGACAATAAAATGAGAGATAAACTCAAATTACCCCATTACAAAATCATACTACCTCCGTAACGCTAGAATCTTCCCAGTTTGACTCTTTTGGGTCAAACTTTATGAACTTTGACCATTAATTATTCAAAACTCACATTATGTTATGATTAAAAATTTATTTTATACAACTCATTGTAAAACGTATTATTTGAATGTTAATTTATTATGAATTTTATAAATATAGATATGTAGATATTTGCAGTCAAAGTTCAACTTAGAAGACTGTGAAAAGTGGAAGATCTCTATATTACGGAGGGAGTATCATGAATACATGCTTCGCATTATAAGTGGGGCCATGTAAAAAAGTACGAGTAATTGACAAAATATCCTCCAAGCTGTCCAAATTCATTTTGTGAGCTGCCGTCAGGGGGAAGCTTAAGGATCAAATTCATTCTAGACAGAGAGGGGGAAGAGTGCGTGGGACTGTTTGAGAATATTTCTGTTTCTTCTGTAAGAGCGAGAGAAACAGGAAAGTAGTTGGGGGCATGAAGATCACGGCGTTGTTGGTGCTGAAATGCATCGAGGGGGCGGATCCGGTGATCCTAGCAAACGCATCGGACGTCAGCCATTTCGGGTACTTCCAGAGATCAAGCGTCAAGGAATTCATCGTATTTGTCGGTAAGACCGTCGCCGGACGGACCCCTCCTGGCCAACGCCAATCTGTCCAGCACGAAGGTACCTATTTCTCGACATCGATGTATCGTTGGGTGTTTTTCTTACGAGAAAACTTCAAATACACGTTAATTTTATTTTCAAATTGTTTGTGTCGTGGATGAGCATTCATCGTTCTATCTGCCACATGAAGTGTTTGTGTGCAATGATATTAATCGTGTAACGTTTTCAATTGTGGAGTATGTTTGTGCTCATCTGTATTTTCTACTCCCTAATTTTGACTCGGTCGACCTGCTTGTTAATTGTCTATTGGATGTCATGATTATAACGCAATCGGTTATCTTTCACACACAATGAATTTGAGTGTATTGCTGCTGTGGTTTAATTTAGTTATGTTTCAAAATCAGTTTATGTTTTTGTTGAAATTGAAGTTGTAAAAGTAAGATTATTTAAGAGTACCTTTACCACAAAATGTCTCTTCTGCATGAAGTGTTTTCCATTTAAGCAGATTGATTTTGTAGATATTTGTTAAAAAAAGACTGTTTGTATGCTTCAGTTATTTTTATACAAAAAATTGGACGAGTCTATTGGCCATTTTTCCATTTTTTGGTTTTCTGAAGTTGTAAGTGGCAATATGCATGAAGCCATTATCTCTGACTCTCTGAGAGTAACATTACCATTCTTTACGCAATAGAGTACAAGGTGCATTCCTATAACCGAAATGGCTTGTGTGCATTGGGTTTTATGGATGATCATTACCCGGTTCGAAGTGCGTTTTTCACTGCTAAACCAGGTACTGTGTCCTCAAACGCTGATTTAATCAAAATGTGAGAGTAAGGCTCTATCCCATCAATCGTTTGTTATAGATGCTACTTATTTTTAATGTTTCTAGGTCATAGATGAGTACCAAAAAAAAATTTGGTGAGTCGTGGAGATCTGTAAAACCTGATGATAGCATTCCAGAGTGGCCCTATTTAGCTCAAGCCTTGACTAAATTTCAGGTGTATAAATCATTTCTTATTGCCTGATTAATGTCATTACTAAAATAATTGCGTGCAAATTCCCTTCTCGGTTACCCTTCCCCCATTTTGTTTCTTCAGGATCCTGCAGAAGCTGACAAACTGTTGAAGATTCAGAGGGAGTTAGATGAAACTAAAATTATTCTTGTAAGTGATGTGCTGTTGTTCCTTTCGTTTTTGTGAGTTTTATTCCTCACTAGGAGGCTAAGTCCTGATTGATTCGATATCCGCATCTATTGTTATATCTAATGACAAATTGTGCCAGTAGTAGATCAAATTGTGTTACAAAACAAATTGTATATTGCAGCTTATCTGGACGAGGAAGATGCTCGTTCCCACCCTTTTTTTTATTATAGGGTTGAGCCGTTATCATAGCATTTCAACTAACCTTATCTCTCTGTTCTAGAAGGCTTAATTACAATAAATTTTGAGTTTTTTAGCAGCACAGACATTTCAACCATATCACTAATGTGAATCTTATCCCTGTCCTTACTTGTTTGTATATAGCAAATTTGATTCTCATCCGTGCATATAATAGCAGAACCAGTCTTCCTTTCACCTTTATCATAATATGTTGATTCTTTTGTCATTAGTTTCTGTAGTTCCCAAACCAACTCTTACCTACCTTGAGACCAGTTTTCCATTGGATTCATCAGTACTCATATGCTGATGTGCATGTGATATTAATCTTTGTTATGTTTTATCATTATTATTATTACTATTATTATTATTATTATTATTATTATTATTATTATTATTATTATTATTATTATTATTATTATTATTATTATTATTATTATTATTATTATTATTATTATTATTATTATTATTATTATTATTATTATTATTATTATTATTATTATTATTATTATTATTATTATTATTATTATTATTATTATTATTATTATTATTATTATTATTATTATTATTATTATTATTATTATTATTATTATTATTATTATTATTATTATTATTATTATTATTATTATTATTATTATTATTATTATTATTATTATTATTATTATTATTATTATTATTATTATTATTATTATTATTATTATTATTATTATTATTATTATTATTATTATTATTATTATTATTATTATTATTATTATTATTATTATTATTATTATTATTATTATTATTATTATTATTATTATTATTATTATTATTATTATTATTATTATTATTATTATTATTATTATTATTATTATTATTATTATTATTATTATTATTATTATTATTATTATTATTATTATTATTATTATTATTATTATTATTATTATTATTATTATTATTATTATTATTATTATTATTATTATTATTATTATTATTATTATTATTATTATTATTATTATTATTATTATTATTATTATTATTATTATTATTATTATTATTATTATTATTATTATTATTATTATTATTATTATTATTATTATTATTAGGGAAATTTCTCGAAATAGGACTAAAACAGTTTAGAAATTCCAAAATAGGACTGTCATGATTTTTATTCCCAAAATAGGAGTAATTACTGTCAAGTTTGGAAAATAATGTCATGTTTGAAGTCTGGTACTGCCAAAACATGGCAGTAATTAGTCCTATTTTGGGAATAAAAACATGGCAGTCCTATTTTGGAATTTTCAAACCTTTTTAGTCCTATTTTGGGTAAATTCTCTTATTATTATTATTATTATTATTATTATTATTATTATTATTATTATTATTATTATTATTATTATTATTATTATTATTATTATTATTATTATTATTATTATTATTATTATTATTATTATTATTATTATTATTATTATTATTATTATTATTATTATTATTATTATTATTATTATTATTATTATTATTATTATTATTATTATTATTATTATTATTATTATTATTATTATTATTATTATTATTATTATTATTATTATTATTATTATTATTATTATTATTATTATTATTATTATTATTATTATTATTATTATTATTATTATTATTATTATTATTATTATTATTATTATTATTATTATTATTATTATTATTATTATTATTATTATTATTATTATTATTATTATTATTATTATTATTATTATTATTATTATTATTATTATTATTATTATTATTATTATTATTATTATTATTATATTATTATTATTATTATTATTATTATTATTATTATTATTATTATTATTATTATTATTATTATTATTATTATTATTATTATTATTATTATTATTATTATTATTATTATTATTATTATTATTATTATTATTATTATTATTATTATTATTATTATTATTATTATTATTATTATTATTATTATTATTATTATTATTATTATTATTATTATTATTATTATTATTATTATTATTATTATTATTATTATTATTATTATTATTATTATTATTATTATTATTATTATTATTATTATTATTATTATTATTATTATTATTATTATTATTATTATTATTATTATTATTATTAACAAAATCCCGATTCTTGTGCAACTTGTTTCCCTGGCAATATGTCTATATCTAATAATGAGTAATTAATCACTGGATTGGTGGATCTTTTGCGTCCAGCACAAGACAATCGACAGCGTTCTAGCACGGGGTGAGAAGCTTGACAGTTTGGTTGAGAAGAGTTCTGATCTGAGTACAGCTTCACAGGTACCCATGTCATTTTCTTAATGCACTCTTGTTGATAAAGCGTAGTGGAATACTATTAGTTATATTTTTTTAGTGTAGATTTACGACCACATGCAGTTGTTTATATTACAATATGTTCCGTTATTGCTTACCAAATATAACCTTAAAGAAGCATGGAACATGTGTAGATTATGGTCCTTGATTTCATACGTTGTGTAATAAGGTACATCATGATGTGATTAGATAAAGATATCATCTACCACTGCGCAGGTAGCAATAGAATGAGGTTTTGCAACAATGTCCAATGTTTAGATGACGACTTGCAGTTTGAAATCATGGTGTTTATAATAGTACAATTTTAATGCCACGTACTACAGATAATAATTATAAAACTGAATTATCTTGTGATGCTATGGATTGTTTTGCTCCGGAGTATATTAGTGGGTGGTGGTGCTATCGTCATGATTTTTAAGTTTTAACCAATGATGAAAAGGTATAGGCAGTATAGTGCAGCATAGACAGAATTTGATGGTGTCAACAAAAGAAGCCTTAGTATATTGGTGCCTTGGCAGGGATTTTAGAACCAATCTTTTGTTTATTATCTTTTGAATACTATGCGTTGTTGATAGGGACATGGATTATAATAAGAGTCTTATTAACTATTTTAATATTGTGCAATAATAGGTTTCTAGGCCCTATTATTGAGGGCCGGCCCTGTAGGAGAGTATTATTATAAGAGTGGGTAGGGGGGAAGAATAAGGTAGGCAGAACTTGGGACTTGGGGTGGGATTTGGAGTGTGAGATTACTCAAAGTGTCTCACTTGTATTTTCCGTTTTTGTTTCTTCTCTTTCTTGCACGCTAGGCTATGGTTTCTGCCATTGTATTTGCTTTAGGAATTATGAGATTTCTCTGAACTTTTACTGAATATACACGATTTGTCTGGTCCCTATCATCGGTATCAGAATAAGGTAGGCAGAACTTGGGACTTGGGCTGGGATTTTGGAGCGCGAGACTACTTGAAGTGTCTCACTTGTATTTTCCGTTTGTTTTTCTTCTCTTTCTTGTACGCTAGGATACGGTTTTCTGCCATTGTATTTGCTTCAGGAATTCTGAGATTTCTCTGAATTCTTTACTGAATATACACGAATTGTCTGGTCCCTGTCATTGGTATCAGAGCCGACGACCTGGAGAGTGGTGGATGACCTGGACGCAAGCAAGAATGGAAAACCGCATGGAGGCTGTGGAGAGAAGGGTGCAGGAAGTGCAAAATACCATGGAAGAGATGCGAAGCTTAATGCTGAATCAGGATAGATGCATGGAAGAGATGCGGAACTGGATGCTGCGTCAGGAAAATCATCGCTCGCGAGGGAGATCGCGGACACTGAGGCAGAAGCGTCACGAAGCGAGCCAGAATTCCGCCATTTCAGGAGGTAACTCTGATAGATCTCGATCCTCTTATTCCAGACGCACTTACAGTGATAATAAGGCGTTAATGAAAACCGGAAGGACAATAGACTTACCGGTATTCAATGGAACGGAGGCGTATGGTTGGATCATAAGGGCTGAGAGGTTTTTTAGACTGAACAATATCAGTTGCGAGGACAGAGTTTCAGTTGTTATGATAGCAATGGAGGGCAGAGCACTGAATTGGTTTCAGTTGTGGGAAGCACAAGCTAGTGAGCTAAGCTGGGAAGGGTTTAAGGAAGCCTTGATCCGTCGTTTTCAGCCAGAACTAGTGCAGAATCCATTCGGACCATTGTTGAGTGTAAAACAAACAGGAAGTGTGATGGAGTATAGGGAAAACTTTGAATTGGTTGGCGCACCTCACAGAAATATCAATCCGGAGATGTTGAAAGGAATTTTCCTAAATGGGCTAAAGGAAGAACTGAGAGCTGAACTCAAACTTTACCACTCTGGATCATTATCTGAAATCATGGACTGGGCCTTGCTGATTGAAGCAAAGAACAATGCCTTGAGAGGAGGAAAACACAAGGAAGAAGACAAAAAGAGCTGGAAGGACAAGGGAGGAAGCCTGGTTAGACCTCTTAATTCGGTGGAAGGTTCTGAAGGAGGAACCGGTGACATTAATCAACAACCGACTGACAGCACCATTTCAGAGGACAAAATGGGGGAGTCCACAGAACTGGTTCTAAAGTGGAAGAATGGGAGGAGGTTGACTCAACCTGAACTTGAAGAAAGACGTAAAAAGGGCCTGTGCTTCAAATGTGAAAGCAAATGGTGTAAAGAACATATCTGCGGAATGAAACACTATCATTTCTTCCTGACGGAAGATCTAGAAGAAGAGATGGGACCAGATGTTCAGCAGTCTGAATTGGATGTAACAGAAATTCCGTTGAAACCAAATGCGAGAACAGTTTCTTATAATCCACCATGATGACAAGGTGGAAGTTCAAGGGGGGAGTGATGATAGGGACACAGACACTACTACTAATAAGAGTCTTATTAAGTATTTTGGTATTGTTCAATAATAGGGTTCTAGGCCCAGTAAATTAGTTGAGGGCCGGCCCTTTAGGAGAGTATTATAATAAGAGCGGGTATGTGGGAGAATAAGGTAGGCAAAACTTGTGACTTGGGCTGGGATTTTGGAGTGCGAGACTACTCGAAGTGTCTCACTGTATTTGCTTCAGGAATTCTGAGATTTCTCTGAATTCTTTACTGTTGTTTATTCACAAATTTGAATACACGAATTGTCTGGTCCCTATCAGTTGTTTATTCACAAATTTGAACACCCACCATTACCACTCATGTTGAAGTCTTGTTTGTGTTGATGGTCTTGAAACAGATGTTCTACAAGCAGGCTAAGAAAACAAACAGTTGCTGTACAATTTTGTAGAACAATTGCTATAACAAAAATAGATCAAGCATCTGGACTGCATTTGCATCATTGCTCCATATGAAGAAGTGTCACAAGGGTTGTTTATATATATATAATCTGTTTTATAATTTATGTCTGCTTGAATTCTTTTAACTTGCCTGTACCCGTGCATCAGAATGATCTAATATTCAAATATTTGTTTTTTTATGTTTTACAAATAGTCATATAAGGTAGATGTTTGCAATAATATTTGCCACTTGGTGGATATAAGGTTTATGCTAGTGTTTGTTCATGTGTGGACATAAAATGAATCCTTTTGCGTTTCCAGTTTACCTATTACAGAACATATCCACTAAAAGCAACTCGTAAACATTCCCACTACCCTAGAGTAGGATTGACGCTGTCTGATTCTTAAATCTTAACTGCATTTCTGGTTGCATGTCTGATATTGGTGCTCCTGATAATTTGTGAGTTGTGCAAAAAAAGAAAAAAGCAGCCTGCTTCAGCTTTCAGAGTGTGGACTGGTTTTATGCTTATGTGTTTGTTGAAGGAGTACAATAACAAGTAAAGTTGGGGCCTATTTTGGAGGAACTAGAATTGCAAATTCATTCAAACAGTTCTGTTCTTTACTGGCTTCGGCCTGTTTTGGGACCAGGTCCACCCCCAGCGTAGACTCCGATAGATAGGAGTATGGGTGGACTGGGATGAGTTCCGGGCTTAGACTAGCTGGTATTTGCTTGAGTACTGAACTCCCCAGTTCTGTTTCAGATTGAAACTAGTGCCATAAATTGATCTGGCTTTGTGTAGACTTTCAGCCTTCTATGTTATCCAGAACTGACCGGATGAGAGTTGGACTTCTAGATAGGGCGGTATATGCCCATCTCATATGCTCATACTCACACCCAAGTGGGGATTTGGTATTGGTTGAATTTGGTATGTTTATACCAAACTACCAAAGTACCAAACCAATGGGATATATAATGAATTATGGTTTCTGGGTTTTGGTAGGGGCACTGGGCAGTCGCAGACTTGGACAGGGTTTGATCTAATTTCTGACCATCAATGTTACTCAGTAATGGGTTATAATGTTTGGTCTAATTTGAACCTTAATCGGGTAAATAAATTTTTATTCCAAATAAGTTTCGGTTTGGTTCTGGGGTTTTCCCGATTTAAAAGAATAAAAAACGAGAACCAATTAAACGAGGTAGGAGTGTAGGACTAACAGTCTAACATCTCTATTTACATATAGGGATGGCATCGAGACAGATAGGGATGGTTTTATATATAACTCTACCTGCTCCGTTGAGTAATTCCCCCGTCCCGGAATCGCCCCTTTACCCAACGGGTAATTTCTATCCAAATCATAACCACCTCAACAGGTAACGAATATAGGTAACGAATATAACCGCGGGTAATCACGGGTAGACATGGACCGAACCATTTCCGGGCCCGGGTCGGGCCTAGGCCCGGCCGGGCTTTTTATTGGTTGGGGGAAGCCCGGAACCGGCCTGGGTTTCTATGGGTCCGGTTCGGGCCGGTTTATTTATTTATTTATTTATTTATTTATTTATTTATTTATTTATTTATTTATTTATTTATTTATTTATTTATTTATTTATTTATTTATTTATTTATTTATTTATTTATTTATTTATTTATTTATTTATTTATTTATTTATTTATTTATTTATTTATTTATTTATTTATTTATTTATTTATTTATTTTTTGCTTTCCTAGCTACTCCCTGACCCCCAAACACCCAGCCCAACCCGGGGGAACAAAAAAAATTGAAAAAACAAAAAAAAAAAAAACATTTTGGCCCGAACTTGGCCGGGCCGGGTCACCAATTACCATACCCGAGCCCTCCCCCGCTTTACCCACCGGTTCGGGTCCAAGCCCGGTACGGGACCGAAGGACCGAGCCGGTGCCGGGCCAGGCCGGGTCACGGGCCGGGCGGCCCGAACCGGGTCCAAGCCTAATCACGAGTAATCGCTTTATTAAACGAGTCATTGATACTTTAATATGAGTATAAAAATAATGTTTTAAAATGTGAAAAGTGGCATCACCTAAATGACTCTAGATTCAAACGTCAATTTAAAGTTTCGTATATCTATAAGACGAGAAAGAAGGCAATGTAACTTAGATTAAACCTAAAAATACTTAATCTGAAAAATAATTAATCACCAAAAAATCAGATAAAAGTCAAACAAGACCATTAAGATCTATTATGAACTTCATTCACACATTATAGTTAGTACGTCTATTATACATATATACAAAATGAAAATAGAAAAACCATAGCTAGTTCGGATTATTTTTGTGAACACTATGAGTAGAGATTATTATTGTAGAATCCCTAAAAGTAGGGATTATTTTTATGAATTTCACCAATATTTATCTATAGTCAGTTCATTTACAATTTACATATGCAATATTGATAGCATGTGAAAGATTACAAAACATTATAAAATTTGATATTTTTTTAAAAGACACTAGACTAAAAATAAAAAAAGTTATTATAATTGTCAAAAATAATCAGGAGGGGTGTACAATGACCAATAATGATGTACATATCAATTCATGCACAATGACCACGCTGGTCTGAATAATTAGGGAAATTTTCACGAATGGATAGAAAAGAGAAAAGAATACTTCGTACTCCGTATAACTTTTGTCACCAGGGAAAACTTCTTTCCAAAATGAACTAACTCAGGTTTTCTTTTCACTTATAGACCACTTCGTTAAAACCCGGCTATTTGAACTTCCGAACATCTGGCTCCTCACATACTCGTATATACTAAGACATGTAAGGTGTTCAATCTATCCTCCCTCTTTATTTGCCAACCATACGTAGGAAGCTCTCTGTCTTTTATATGTAAATACAAAAATGCAAACATAAGTAACAAGGTGAGAGTTAAAAATTCAAAAATTCAAAACACGCACTATACAAAATGGAAAAAAAAGTTTTTTTTTGGGAAGAAGGGCGCTTAGATTAAATCACAGCATTCAGAAAGGGGCTAAAATAACAAAAGAACCACAAGCAATCATCCGTCCTTGGGCCAGACTCTGAGTTAATCATCTTTGACAAAACAATATAACTCGCTGATCCGAAATTGGGCGTAATTGAGCCAATAATGGTTACTGCAGAACTCCCATCCCCCAAACCTAATGCAAGAGTCTTACAATAATAAAAATAACCAACAAAAAAATAACAGTCTCATCTTGAAAAATAAATCGCAAGAAAAAACTAAAATTAAAAAGATGCTTCCAAACCCTAGACTCTTCTGCACTCCATGGCGGCGATTCAGGAGGGGGACACGCCAGCAGTGCTGTATGTTCTACCTCACCTTGCCTCTTATTCATCCTGTTCTCTACCAAATCTCCTCTGTAGAATTATTGTTGTCCCTCCTAAAGCCATCCTCTTATAGTGGTCCAACACTTCCTCCATCAGTTGAGCAGCGTAACTAGCCTGCCGCCCCAATTCAAGCTCAGTTGCAAGCCCACCGATCGATGCTAGAGTCGAAGCCGCCTCGATCGATCCTCTGCTTCTGCGTTTCCAATAATATTTTTGGTAAGTTTTCCCTTTAAAAATATTCGATTACTCTTACTTTTTCTACTTTTATCTTTCTTTTTATACTTTTTCACTATCTCTCCTATTTTTCCTACACGGTTGATTACCCCTACTATTTTACTCTTAAATAATGTGTCCAAGTCTATTATAGTGAATTTTGTTAAAAAGTACTCAGAAATTCTTTTACACATTTGATATAATTTATACTATCGTATATAATATACAAAATGTCAAAAATATAAAAAAATCAGATATTTAATGAAAAAAGTTTAAAAAAATCTAAAACTATAAACTATCCAAAAATATGTCAAATAAGATAAAAACGCTTTAAACTATTACAAATATGAAAAGTAGAAAGAATTTTTTTAAAAAAAGTTATTTTTTTAAAAAAAATGAATGCATAATTGAATACAAGTAAAAAATCTAAAAGTCAAATTAATATAAAAATTTGAAAATGTTCAAAATTCAAAATAAATTTTATATATAATAGAAAATTGTAATATAAATTGAAAAAAGTATACAAAATATTAAAAAATGTAAACTAAAAGAGTTTAAAATATAAAACCTCGAAAAACCAGAAAATTGAAGTAGTGAACAAAAAAAAATATCTAAAATTGAAAAAAATAATGAAATTTAAATTTAATCATGTAAAATAATAAAACTTTTAAAGTGTTATTATGATATTACTGTTAGCTTATGTTGCAAATTGTTTCTTTTTGTTGATAACTCTAAAACTTTTGTTTTTTGTTGTTTCGTTCTATGTGTTTCTAGTTGTTGTCGATATTCATAAATTTAAATTTATCATTCTAGGTGTTATAATATAAATCTATATATTGTTTTTTATTTCAAGGAGTTAGCAAAAACAAATAGAAACATAAATAAATAACAAGAAATAAAATCAACAGTAAACAATAATAAGCAACATGATGCTACAAAAAGAAACATGTTGCTACAAAAAGAAACATGATGCAACAAAAAGAAACATGTACGCTAAAACAAAAAGAAACAAAAAACAACATAAAAGTTATCACTATGAATATAATAAAATTTATTAGTTCAACATGTTACATTTATCTAGTATATCATTTGACTTTGGTTCTTCTCGTTGTTCTTTTTCTTCCATTTATGTTTCCTCTTAACGCACAACTCTTCATATTTGTCGCTCTTATCTTCATTTTCCTCATCAAACTTCTTTGGCTTATCATCTCATGTACATGAGATCTACATGTACATCTTTTTTTATTATGCGTCTACAATGAGAGTGTGATCAATATGACACAAATTCATAATCAATTATTACAAGAAACCAACACAGTACACTGAGTAGTGACACAGGCAGGGAGTGACAGAGTACGAAAGACTACTATCGCACTTCTCACGGTGTCATTTACTTACTGCATTTAGTTCTTGCTTTTGATTCATAATTCTAACTGTTTATCTCTAAAAGGCTTAGACTTTGTGTTCAACAAATCTCGCCCTTAGAGTTGACAGAAAGACATCTGCCTCAGTGTGTTCGAAAGGCTACCCAAACAGAACACCTAATCGGCTGTTGGTCAGTTCTGTTAAGAACTAGACCCTCTCTGTGCGTCTTTTCCTTACTCGCGCAAAAAGAAGAAGTAAAAACCAGAACAGTCTATTCACCCCCTCTAGACTGTTCCTTGTATAATCGGGACCAACACCAATATCAACAATAGAAATTTTAGATCCATTAGCAACACTAACAGAAAGTGGTCCAGTATAAGGTAATTTATTAACTAAAATACATTCCGTAGGAGTCATGTGAGCCGAAGCCCCAGAGTCAGGATACCATAAAGCAACATTGGATTCACCATTGGAAGTAAGAAGAGATGGATCAGATGGCT